ACGTATGGATAACCCAGGGTGCAGTCTCATTATTGACGGGGTTAGCTGCACTCGCTAATGTACACACGTAAAACATACACTGCTTCATCGATACATGAGGGAGAGCGAGATGAGTCCCTTGGGGGTTAGGGACTGTTGGGAGGCAGTGCGATGACGAGGAGACAAGAGGTGAATACCATACTTCCCAATCCCCAGGGGACTGAAATTATCGAAGGAAGATGGTGTGGTTGTAGGTACTGATAAACCCATACTCGCAACCAAGTGCCTGCATATCCCGCACTGGCTCGGCAGTCTTTTGTCGTAGGTCACGTAGACGGCGGTTTGCCGAGTGGATGTCTTATTGAATGACCCAGGATATCTTTAGCTTCCCAACCAGCTTAATAGTAGTAATTCTAGCTATATCTTACAGACCGACAACTTCGGGGTTTTGTCGTACAATAGTCTACCCTATAAAGATTCACCTACCCCTAAACTAGCGGCTAAGAGATCTGCCAATTTTCTTCAGATTAAATTCAGATTTACTTCAGATTTACTTCAGATTTAGTTTAAATTCAATTTAGATTCAATTTACTTTAGGGTTATTATGATAGAATGGCCTATCTTTTACCTGATCTAAACCCTATTAAGGATATATAGAAATAGAGGAAGGATTATATTGAGAGAGAGTATAGGGATCGGCACTTTCCTTTATCGAAGCAAGCAGCTAAGGTGAGGGTCTTCGCTAGTGGCTAAGAAACAATGTTACGAAGAGATCATGTTCTTATAAGGCAACCACTATATTTATGTCAGTGTCACTTTCCTCAACTATCTTAATAGCTACCTACTAGGTAGACTTTATACGACAAGCGACTCGGCAGCCTCTAATCTTTCCTTCTCTTTAAGCACCAACCCCCTTCTAGTCAAGGGCCGCGTCAAAATTATTATACACCAAGCCTAATTGGCGAATTGGCGCTCTACTCCAACTATCAGCCCTCGCATACGTCCTATTCAAGCCACAAGGCGTGAATCCCCACCATATTAGAACAACATAGTAAGATATATTTTGCTATAAACATCGATATATATGTCATTCAGAGAATTATACTAAGGAAACACTTTATTAGATCCCTCAGATCCTCAGTTCCCACAATGACATTCACAATCCGAGCAAAGCAGATTGTGGAAAGTCCGCTTCCATCCCTTCAAATTGGGCCCTACCATACCGACCTTTATCCTATAGAGCAATTTCCTACGATCAGTTAAGCACACGTACATAACTCAAAATTAGGCGAGGTGAAGGACATCACCTTATGCCGATGCCCCCATTCCACGGAAACCGACCGGGTATATATCGGGGATGAGCATAGCCTCTAGGGCCGTTTCTAATAGGCGATTGGCCAAACATTTGGGGCGGTCCTAGAGGCTAAGGCAATCAACTTCTACTTCGCCGACTTCAAAAGCCTAGGGAGCAACTACGATAAGACCCCCGACGTTGTTGGTTTGCAATATATGGGTGGAAATACTACCGTTAAGCTGGTTAGGGAGTTGAAAGTGCCTTGGGTGGATGACCATAACCTCTAGGGGACAATATTCGACTTAGATTTCCTCCGGCGAAAGCTTGCCTAGCCAGTGCGGGACATGCAGGCACTCGGTTGCGAGTATGGGTTTATCAGTACCTACAACCGTACCATCTTCCTTCGATAGTTTCAGTCCCCTAGTGGGGATTGGGAAGTATGGTATTCTCCTCCTATCTCCTCGTCCTCTTACTACCCCAAGGGACTCAAATCGCCTTCCCGTACGTATCCATGAAACATTGCATGTTTTACGTGTGTGCTTTAGCGAATTCTGCTAATCCCGCCAACAATCAGACTGTGCCATGGGTTGCTGGATTCCGAAACGTCAACTTGTCTTGAAATAGGTCTGCATTCAATAATGTCAAGGTGTTTTACGATTATCTTCCACAGTATACGGAGCTATTAATAAATGAAAAGGTAGGCTCAGCATCTTATTGCGAAGCAATCATTAACTATATACAGGAACATATATATGTTATGTTGTAGTTCTATAGTTATCCACAGTTATGAACAATGTAAGTTAATAACTCAAATCAAATGGAATTACTCCATACTCTCTGATTATCATTACTTTTAGATCTTACCAAGCAGATATTCGCGATTTGGGTCCAAGGTGTTGAAATCCTAGGGCTGTTGCAAGTTTCGTCATCGCAACCCGGGATCACATCAGTTTTGGAGATAAACATCGAAATTTGAGATTTGAGATTCAAATTTTCGAATTTGTACTTGAAGCAAGTAGAGCATATTCAATTTCTATTGAATTATTCCGTATATATCCATAGTCAGCTCTCTATCAGTTCCCTTTGGTCATTCTAGTCTTCATGGTCCCCCATCTTTCAATATAAGAGCGTTGATCAACCCTCGGTCATCGAGTTCATCACGCCATTTATGCCCCGCCATGAGCAATGGATAACGACTGCGAATAGGCCTCGGAAGTACGGAAACGCTCTCATTGCGCCAATGTGAGACGAAATTATCCCATTGATCTTGCTAGGACGTCCCAGAGCCAAGCGATTAGTGGAGGTGCTCCAACCCCTATGTACGTGCTTATGGGAGGGATTTGGTATCACTGCCCCGCGCCCTGAAATGAGGCGTGCTTTGGCTTTATCTTCTCGCCCGAGAGATTATATAGACTGGCACCAAGGGCAATATAGATAGAGTCTAATAGTTGAACTGGTGTTTCTCTGTGATCCAAGCTTCAAGTCATGCCATTACTACCCCCAAGCACCATGTCGACTACCTCAACTTGCCTCCAACTTGAAGAGTTGCAGAAGACCCCAACTACGTTCCACCAATACCTGTTTTCTGAGTCTCTGTCGGATTACTCCAATGAGTCAAGAACTGAGAGTGAACCCCCCTCTCCGCGGTCTGAGGAGTCAAGACAAAGAGTCTTGCTTCTCAAGGGGGCCCGTGAACAGTATGCATTGGTAGATGATCATGCTATTCCTTCTGTCTTGCATGAGGGAGAGATTCTTGTCAAGGTATGACATGTACTGAATCTTGTATAATATGAGATGCTGACTATTGATTCGCAGGTTCTTACAATCGGCCTCAACCCAGTTGATTGGAAGGGACCGTAAGTATTACTATTTTTATAGCTGGAAAGCAATCTATCATTGATGACTAACCCATGAATCGATTAGGGCATTCAACTTTGGTATCCCCAGCCTGCCATGGATCAACGGGCGGGATCTGGCTGGCCTTGTACTACAGATTCCCAAAGGGTCATCACGTCTTCGCGTAGGCGACGTTGTGCTAGTACCATCAACAGATTACCGGGATATTAGGAAAGCAGCATTCCAAGAATACGCCATCGCCACCGACTTCAATGCTGCTCGAATCCCTTCTTCAACATCTATCCACGCTTCAGCTTCTGTCGGAGTCGCATTCGTCGCCGCTGCGTTGGCTTTGGGTGTCTCATTTGGACTAGACTTCTCCCTCATCACACAAGTTCCTGGTCCTAATCTGCCCAATATCATCAAAAAGCTCGACAGAAATGACATACCCACCGATATACACGAAGAATGCTTCGCATCATTATTGGGCTCAGAAAAGCCACAACGTGGCGACTGGGTTGCTATCTGGGGCGGTAAGACAACCAATGCCCCCATTACTATGATCTGACCACTGACATTTGAACTATAGCCTCAACCACTACTGGCCTGATAACTCTTCAACTGGCGAAACTTGCCGGGTTACGCGTGATATGCATAGCTGATGCAGCCCGGCATGGTGCCAAGCTTGTGAATTCCGGTGCAGACCTGCTAGTGGATCGACATGACCCTGATCGTGCAGTCGAAATTATTCGCGGTGTCACTGAGGGCAAGCTGCGATATGCCATTGATATAGTCGGAAGAGAGACAGCAACACAGCTTGAAAAGGCTCTTAATCCTGATGGGCATGCCCATCTCCTTGGATTATCCGGTCTGCCTAAAGAGAAAAACCCCGGGGTACAATATCACACTGTGCCCATTAAGCTCTTCCATACGGCTCCTACCGTGGGTGAAGCTATGGTGTGCTGGTTGGAAGACCTTTTGCAATCAACGAATCTCACATTACCGGAGATTGTTCATGCAGAGGGTGGGTTAGACGGTATTAATGCGGCGCTCGAGACGTTGCGGAGTGGTTCCGTGTCTGGAAAGAGGATCGTGGTCGACCTGGGTTCTGCGCCTCCGTAGCCCCGTGCGTTCTTACACGTTTATGAAATTTTGCTTTAGAGACATGGGCATTGGCGTTGTGGTATAACTTTAGGTAGATTGGGTTTTAGACCATGAAACAGGTTCAAAATTTGATAACTAGTACTTTTTGCTAAGAACATGTGAATGCATCCTCTTTGATATTGTGGAATGAGAGATCAATGTATACAACCTACAGTCAGCTGGATCATGACGAACCCCCAAAGCTATAAAATATAGGCTGGTGAGGTACCCCAGATATGATCCCCATATCCACTTGGTGTCTGCCACATCCCCCTGTTCGCAGTGCTAAGCGTATAAGCGTTGAGTCAAAAATTGGCGGGCCGATCGGAGGGAAACCCTCCAAGTGATCAGCCAATCAGCGGCTCTCAATTACTTTGGTCCGGAGCGGTCGACGAGTATCCGCCAAGAGCCGTGATTAGCCGCGATCCCCTTTTTGGATCATCCGGCCCAGACCGATATCGGCCGCCCCTTGTGTTGCCACCTCGGCCAATAAAATTCGTACCATTCGCCGCTGACCGGCCGAAACCGGCGTTGCCCCTCGAGAAGCTCTCCAGCGACATCGCGGATGCTTAGGAGCAGAAAAATATAACAGTCATTCCAATTCCAGTTCCCTAGGTCTCGGTACTTATTACTTACATACTATATTGCTTCATTGAAGCTTCCACGCACTATCTCCTCTTCCTCTCTCATCCTCAAACCTTATACCCTCATATACTCTCTCCCTAGCTGTTTTCTATCCACCCCCACCATGCCTTCCGCCGAGTCGAAACCCAGGACCTTGTATGACAAGGTTTTCCAGGACCACATCGTCAATGAGCAAGATGATGGAACTTGCTTGATCTACATTGACCGACACCTTGTTCACGAGGTTACATCCCCACAGGCCTTCGAGGGCCTCAAAAACGCTAGCCGCACCGTCCGCCGGCCAGATTGCACTCTGGTTACAGTTGATCACGTATGTTAAATCATATATCCACTAGCAGCTCCCGACTAATTGGACCTTTTTCATCGGATAGAACATTCCCACCTCTTCACGGAAAAGTTTCAAAAACGCCGCGGACTTCATTAAGGAGAATGATTCGCGTCTCCAATGCACAACCCTGGAGGAGAACGTGAAGGATTTTGGCCTCACATACTTCGGTATGGGCGACAAGCGCCAGGGTATTGTCCACATTATTGGCCCGGAGCAGGGTTTCACTCTGCCCGGCACGACTGTTGTCTGCGGTGACAGCCACACCTCCACACACGGTGCTTTCGGTGCCCTTGCGTTCGGTATTGGAACCAGTGAAGTCGAGCATGTCCTCGCAACCCAGACCCTCATTACCCGCCGCAGCAAGAACATGCGCATCCAGGTTGATGGCGAGCTGCCCGCTGGTGTCACCAGTAAGGACGTCGTTCTCCACATCATCGGTGTCATTGGTACTGCTGGTGGTAACGGTGCTGTTATTGAGTTCTGCGGATCCGTCATCCGTGGACTGAGCATGGAAGCCCGTATGTCAATGTGCAACATGTCCATTGAGGGTGGTGCCCGTGCCGGTATGATCGCACCCGACGAGATCACTTTCGAATACCTCAAGGGCCGTCCTCTGGCCCCCAAGTACGGAAGCGCAGAGTGGAACAAGGCCACCAGCTACTGGTCCAGCCTGAAGTCGGATGCTGGCGCTAAGTACGATAGCGAGATCTTCCTTGACGGCAAGGATATCATTCCCACCATCTCATGGGGTACTTCTCCCCAGGACGTCGTCCCAATTACTGGTGTTGTCCCCGGCCCCGATGACTTCGAGGATGAGAACCGCAAGACCTCTTGCATCCGTGCTCTCGAATACATGGGTCTTGTCCCTGGTACGCCCATGAAGGATGTTGTGGTTGACAAGGTCTTCATTGGATCTTGCACCAACGCTCGTATTGAGGATCTGCGTGCCGCAGCTAAGGTCGTTAAGGGCCATAAGATTGCCTCCAACATCAAGCGCGCTATGATCGTCCCTGGGTCTGGTCTTGTTAAGGAGCAGGCTGAGTCCGAAGGTCTCGACAAGATCTTCACCGATTCCGGTTTCGAATGGCGTGAGGCTGGCTGCTCTATGTGCCTGGGTATGAACCCAGATATCCTGTCCCCCAAGGAGCGCTGTGCTAGTACCTCCAACCGTAACTTCGAGGGTCGCCAGGGTGCCCAGGGCCGTACTCACCTCATGTCCCCCGCCATGGCTGCCACTGCTGCCATTGTCGGTAAGCTCGCCGATGTTCGTGAGCACGTTGTTTCCAGCCCCATCCTCGGAAAGGCCTCCCCTAAGGTCGACGTCCAGCCTGTCTTCGAATCCCCCGCGACCGAGGACGAACTCGACCGTGTCCTCGACTACCCTGCTGACAACGAGCCCCACACCAACTCTTCAGCCCCTGCTAGCGGCGGTGGCAAGAGCACCGGTCTTCCCCCTTCACCGCCCTGAAGGGTATCGCCGCGCCTCTGGATCGCGCCAATGTCGACACTGATGCTATCATCCCCAAGCAATTCCTCAAGACCATCAAGCGCACTGGTCTCGGTACCGCACTGTTCTACGAGCTCCGCTACACCGACGACAAGGAGAACCCCGATTTCGTCCTGAACCAGGGAATTTACCGTGACTCCAAGATCCTGGTTGTCACCGGTCCCAACTTCGGTTGCGGTAGCTCCCGCGAGCACGCCCCCTGGGCTCTGCTTGACTTCGGTATCAAGTGCATCATCGCCCCCTCCTTCGCCGACATCTTCTTCAACAACACCTTCAAGAACGGCATGCTGCCCGTCGTCGTTTCTGATCAGGTTGCTCTGCAGAAGATCGCCGATGAGGCCCGCGCCGGCCGTGAGGTCGAGGTCGACCTTGTCAACCAGGAGATCAAGGATGCCCAGGGTAACAAGATCACTGGCTTCGAGGTCGAGGAATTCCGCAAGCACTGCCTTGTCAACGGTCTGGATGATATTGGTCTTACTCTCCAGATGGAGTCTAAGATCCGCGTTTTCGAGTCCAAGCGTACCCTTGATACCCCCTGGTTGGATGGCAGTGCCTACCTCCGTCGTGACCGTCGTGGTGCGACTATGGTCGAGGCTGCCCCCGTTCCCAAGACCAACCGTGGTGATGTGAAGGACGAGCCTCTTGAGTGGTAAAAGGTGTTCTTTGTGTTTGTCAAGTGCCTGTGTTTAGTAGTCATTGGCGCTGCATCAATTCATTTTTGTGTCACTTTGTTTGGATTTCAGAATCATATTCCCCTACTTGTTGCGGCTACTATTTGTGTTTTGTTTTGCCTTGGATTAATCATGGGCTATATTATTATTTGGGTAGCCTACAACAACGAATTTCAACGAGAATGAATTATGATCGTCGATTTGAAACCTACTTGAACAAGTTTTCCTTGTATTCCCCTATTTTGTAATGTTGGTTAAGTACGTATATCAATCTGTAGGTTATATATATCTCTTCAAGGGACATACATCTCTTGACCATTACTCTCCCTTGTCCTCGGCCCAACATAATCCGCGGTCTGCAATGTCACTGGATGTTCTATGCCGTCGACGACCAAATGTCTGACATCCGAAGGCCCAGCAAAACGGTTTGCTGCAGTAGTAAATCAGGTCACGAGGCTGAGCAGTGCCAACAGCCCGATAGCCCGGGTAGTGTAGTAAACTTGCAAGGTTGCCCTTAGCGAGGGATACCGACTGAATTCACTTGGAACCATAGTTCGTGGTCGGATGGCCATGTGGACGATGTACCACTGGAAATCCTCCTTTCTTTTATATAATGGTTAAAATGTTAAAATGAGGGAAAAAAAGTATTTGTCAAAATTCTCACTTGGTGTCTTTGCTTCTCTCGGTGCCCTGTGATCACCACTAACCGTCAGGCCTAAGTGCATAAGGGACCTTGACTCATCCCTACCTACGTGTATATACACCACAAAACTCCATAATATTAACGAGCCGATTGAGGTTAATTCTTTGAGAATAAGGTTGCGTTGAGTGGGTCCCACCAAGTGGGTCCCGACGCCTATTCCAAGGGTCCATGGTAGACGGGGGATTTATATGAAGTTAAGGTTATTCCAGGCAATAATCCGGGTAGTGCAGTAGCTAAGAGCAATGACATCTTGCAAGGTTATAATCTTAACAAGGCATAGTTCGCGGTCGGATGGCTATTTGGGCGAGGTACGGCTGGGGATCCTCTCCTGTTTTACCTTAGGAAAAAAAAAAGCTAAGGAAATGGAATTTCATCGCACCAGCACACAACACACTATACAGTATCAAGATTGTATAATCGTGTTCGTGTCCACCGAATAATTAATATATACAATATCATCACACGTATTGGCAATAAACGCTGTACTGAATGTTTAATGCTCAGAAACAAAGATACCGGCCATACCCATGCCCTGTTAGAAGCAATTAGTAAATCTCAAATATTTGGTCATGATGGTCAGAGGTAACTTACAGTACCCACACACATCGAGGTCACGGCGACTCGCTTATCCTGTCGACGCAACTCAGACAGAGCAGTGACGGCCTGGCGAGCGCCAGTGGCGCCGAGAGGGTGACCAAAAGCACTTGGAAATGTCAGCATGGCATCAATCAAATTTGGTCTAAGATCACTTACATAGCACCACCACGAGGGTTCACCTTGGATTCATCCAAGCCCAGCTTGTTGACACAGTACACACCCTATGATGAACGACTTATGTTAGACTTGCAAAGTACATACTCACATACTTGGTAGACTTACCATTGAGGAAAAAGCCTCGTTAATCTCGAAAATATCAATATCATCCTTGCTCAAATTGAACTTGTTCAAGATCTTGGGGATGGCAAGAGATGGGCCAATACCCATGATTCTAGGCTCCAGACCAGAAACGGTAGCACCACAGAACTTGGCAACAATGGGCTGACCGAGCTCCTGGGCACGTGAGCGCTTCATGAGAACTAGTGCAGCAGCACCATCGGTAATCTGACTGGCGTTACCGCCGGTGGTAGCACTAGGGGCCCACTGGGGGAAGGCAGCGCGGACCTTACCGAGGGACTCCGGGGTAGTACCGTAGCGGATGCCATCGTCACGGTCAACGACGATATCCTTCACCTCGCCGGTCTTGGGGTCCTTAATTTGAGTCTTGACGGGGACAATCTCGTCCTCCAGCCAGCCGGCCTTCTGGGCGCGCTCGGCCTTCTGGAAACTATTGGCAGCGAACCTGTCGTGCTGCTCGCGCGAGATGTTGAATTGGTTAGCTACATTCTCCGAGGTTTGTCCCATGGGCTGCGAGTTCTGGGATGCGATAGGATGATTTTTGATGCGCTCGGTCATTTCGGGGGCGCCGCCGTCGGCGTTCTTGCTCATGCTCTCGGCTCCAACGGCCACTCCGACATCGATGGATCCGGCGATGATTTGGTTGGCGATGTTTTGCACGGCTAGCAGACCGGATGAGCAGAAGCGGTTGGCGACAGAGGCGGCTGCTGTTACGGGGTACCCTGCTGCCAGCACGGCGGAACGGGCGACATATGCAGAGCCGGGGCAGAGGACGTTACCAACGCAGACATCCTCTACAAGGTTGGGGTCTAGGTTGGACTTCTCGCGGACGTTCTGTTTGGTGAATTAATTATTACCATTTTTTTTTTTTTTTTTTAAATTCATCGTGGAGAAAAAAGTACCGTGAGGAGTGAGACGAGTAGGTCATCCACGGTGGTATCCTTCAACCCACCTTTGCGGGCCTTGGTGAGGGGTGTGCGGGCCAGGTAAGTGATAACCTGCCAATTGATTAATTATTGCAATGAAGAAAGTGTAGCTATAAAATCAGCAACATACCACATCATCTGGGTTCTTGGCCAGAATCTTTTGGCGGGCTGAGCCAGGAGCTGCCAGCTGATGGGCGACGGAGCTTAGACGTTGTTGTGGTGAAGACATAGGGAATTCAACAAGAATGATATAAATGATATAAATGATATAAATGAGCTAAAAAACAAAGAAGAAGGACTGGTTTAATATCTGAATGTCTTTTCAGATGGCAGTAAAAAGGAACCGCGGCTTCTCCCAAGTTCTCCACTCCGAGCCGAGTTGGACTCTTTTGGTCTTTTTTGTCGACAATTTTGAGCCGATGGAAGTGCCGGGACTTCGGGGGTTACAAGGCGTATGATACCGTTAATTGGTATTCCTCGGTTTGTAATTAAAGACTATGATTGGTGAATTGGTGGTATCGAAGATGTTTCATGGCCCCACATGGACATTGATCCTGGACGGAGGATATTGAGAAAAGGCATGGAGATAGTCAAGAATCCTCTTATGTCTTGTGTCTTGACTTTAATACCATAATATGGCTTCATTTCTCAAGAGCGATTGAGAAGCTCTAGAATAGCTGGTGACCCCAAAACCGGGGAAAGCTCAGCCAAGCCTCTTGGGAAGAGGAATATGGGGGATTTCCCGTAGACTCCACTCCGAGTTGTGGCCAGGTGGGATATTGACTCTGTTATGGACGGCAGATCAAGTCTGGCTAGCTTCCGTCATCAGAGGCCCCGAGGTCTGAGGATCTTTATATTCGTCGTCATGTTTCTGAAAGCTTCAGAATTTCCACTAAAACATAGGATAGACGAGACTCCCCTGACTCCTTTTGTTGCAGAAGGATCACTCACCCGGTCGACTCATAGGGTTATTGTGGTTGGATTGACCAGAAGCACTTGACTGGAAAGGCCTCAGCTTTCTCGGTCGCAATGGACATTTTCTCTGAAGTCAGCGCGCCTGCTGTGGCCATGGCATCCGCCTTGTCGGTAGCCGCTGGTGCTTATCTGGATGCGAAGCTTGCTATTTCCACTGATTTACAAACAATATCCAACAATAAGGCTGTCGCGAAGCGGTTGAACAAGCGCATCGCTGAGCTCGATGGCTCAGCAACAATCTACAAGATGCTCGAGCGGGCGGTGGAGGTGGAAGAACGAGGTGCTACCGATGCGCTCTGGTTTGAGCAGAAGACCTGGTCATACAGCCAGTTGAAAGACTGTGAGTGTTTCGCCCTCTATTGGGAGAAAATATAGCATCTGATTGCTAATGCACTTGTTTGCAGTGGCCGACAGAATGGCTGCTCTGTTGAAGAGCCGTGATATCAACCCCGGTGATACAGTGGGTGTTTTCACCACCAACTCTCCCGAGATGGTCGTAACTGTGTATGCTCTGTCGAAATTGGGCGCTGTGGCAGCAATGATCAACACCAACCTACGAGGTTTGTCAATCATTCAATTCCAGTCCACGGGAATAGACCGCTGATACTAGCAACAGACGATACTTTCATCCATTGCCTCAACGTATCCGGCTCCAAATTAATCATCTCAACTGCGGATATGTCTCAACATGTCTGTACCAACCTACCACACTTCACACTCAACATGGTATCATTCCAAGGTGCCGAAACAGACACAATCGAGCTCATCACCTCGGAAACTCTGCAGCAATTCTCCCCATCAGGGCTTGCAGCAGCCAAGCGGAACCCGAAAGACCTCTGCATTTTAATCTACACATCAGGAACAACAGGAAAGCCCAAAGCCTGCGCAATCCGCAACCTGCTCACCCTGATCACTTCCACTCCACTTTCAGCGGACGCCAACAATCCCTCAAAGTACCACCCATTCCGCGTATACTCCCCTCTCCCCCTCTTCCACGGCACGGCCTTCTTCACCGGCCTATGCAGCGCCATCGGCAACGGAGGCACGTTATGCCTAGGACGAAAATTCTCCGCCTCAAAGTTCTGGAAAGAGGTACACGACTCAGGCGCAACCCGCATCCTCTACATCGGCGAGTTATGCCGGTACCTTCTCACGACGCCACCATCCCCCTACGACCAAGACCACAAGTGCATCGTGGCAAGCGGTAACGGGCTGCGCGGGGAGATCTGGGAGAAGTTCCGTAAGCGCTTTAACGTTCCTGAGATCCGCGAGTTCTATCGTTCAACCGAGGGGGTTGCCAAGTTCGATAACCACGGTGTTGGAGCATGGGGTGTTGGTAAGGTCGGATTTTCTGGGCCTATACGCCGGTTCCTGGAAGACGACACTTTCATCGTTCGGTATGATACCGATGCCGAGATGCCGTACCGGGATCCTGTCACTGGGTTCTGTGTAAGGGCTGCGCTTGGACAGGAGGGTGAGGCCAT